ACACACTGACTGGACACTCCAGTACATTAACACTGCACTGAGAGAGAGGGGTTCATACAGACACACTGACTGACTGGACACTCCAGTACATTAACACTGCCCTGAGAGAGAGGGGTTCATACAGACACACTAACTGACTGGACACTAGAGTATTTTAGCACTGCTCTGAATTTATGACTAAATAGAATGGAAGAAAGAGAGAGAGAGGGAGTGATTCACAGCAATCACCATTCCCTGCATGGCAGAGGTAGATCAAGGGAAACATCTGACAGGATGCTGTTATAATAAACAATAATGAACTAACTGGAAGCTGCTATGATTATCAAGGCCCTGAGACATGAACATGCCGGGCAGGCAGGGAGATCATCACCTGAAGTTCTTCACATGGTCCTCCACAGCTGTCAGGGACACAGAGTAGGACAGGGCCATGTTGTAGGTGCCAGCCTGCAGGGAGGACCCCCAGTTCACCTCTGGAGCAGACAGAGAGAAACAGAGTTCAAAGAGTCAGAGGGGAAGTATCAGATAGACACTCACTGGAACAGAGCCCACGGAGATGACCTGACCTGACCTTCCAAGCTAACAAACAAATTGCTAACAGACCGGCACCCTTGTCTGTGAAGGCTAGTTAACACGGACCATGCAAACCTCCTCATTCTAGGTTGAAGTTTAACTTCTTTTGATTGTTCCATCCAAGTATCTAGATCTGGAGAGCAGACTAGAATAGAGCAGACTCAGACAAAAAGCTGACTTCATGGCAGCAGCTGCAGAAGGGGTTGCTAGGACCCAATAGTGCTTTGAAAAAAAAAACAAACCTATAAAAAATAAAACATTTCAACAGGTGCCTTTTTAATTAACACTGGGGATAGATGTAGCAGTTTCCCCGTGTGGCACTTTCTTATGTTAATGAGTCAGTGCTTTAACAAAACTTGTTATTCTGGAGCTTGTGTTTCCCAATGCTTCTTCATACTCATACTCCTTAATGCAATATGCTCATGGTTTTCTCCTGGGTAGTTAAGAGACTTGGCTGAGCCATTTGCTCTCCGATTCCCGAGACTGAGAGACCCGCATCTCACCTGGCTTTCGGTACGCCACGTAGCCCAGGAGGAAGATGATGATGCTGAATGTGATGATGGCGGCCCACCAGGTCAGCAGGAACATCAGCACCACAGAGACCACGGCTCCGAACAGGGCTGTCCAGCAGTTGTAGTAGCGGAATGAAGGCCTCCAACCTGTAGGGGGAGCCCCCCAATAATGTGACCTCTAACAATAATGTATTCTGCCCTTACCCAACAACCCAGCTGCTTTCCTTGATCTTTCTATGGCAGAAATCCGCAGTACGGCTGTTGGAGATTCAAAGACACAAGGAAACTAAATAGGGTGGCATGGTGGCACCGTGGGGTCTCACAGTGCTTGGGCCATGGATTCATATTCTAAACCTGGGGTGCTGTCTGTGTGGAATTGGTATGTTCATCCAATGTTTGTGTGGGTCCCCTCTGAGAGCTCTGGTTTACACTCACAGTCCAGGGACAAGCTGGTAAGTTAATTCCTTTCTGGAGAAAATGGCCCTGTTGTGTTAGTCTGTGTGTGTCTTGTAATGGTCTGGCCTGCTGTGCCATCGAGGGCGTGTATCTTGCCTTCCCCCATTGCCTGGTGGAACAGGCTCCAGATCCCTGGAGACCGTGAACTGGAAAACTTAGAAAATGGATGGATGGCAACTAATTACTGAGAGTTTTGCAACTGAGAAACTTCTTAATCAGTGCTGTCAACCTTCATTCTTGGAGAGTCTATGAGATTATCTGACCTTCTGCCAGTGCACACATTAAGCTCTGTGATTGACTCTAATTAGTTGATAACTTGTCAAACTTTACATTTTTCTACAGATCTGATATTGTGCTACAGCCTATTGAACTGCTGAATCCCACATGCCTACCAAAGGATAACCTGCAAAGAGCCAAAGAGAAATCTGATACGGATCCCAGTGAGCAAGGAAACAGACCAGATGAAGAACATTCAGGCTATCGAACCCTCTTTGGATGTTGGTAGTTAATTGATCCAAAGATCCAGCTGGTCCTTGAAAGATGCCAGGGTATCACTTTCAACAAAATGACTGGCAGCTTGTTCTACACTCCCATCACCTTTTGTGGAAAGACATGCTTCCTTCAGTTTCAAATGTGCACACTACATGGAAGTACATGTTATCCCTGACTTTGAAATCTAAGAACTGAATATGGAGAGTTGAAGTCAGAAGGGGTACAAGAGGAGCCTGTGTGAATGGTGGCCTGGGGACTTGACAAAGCCTGCTAACCCTCTCTTTTATCCACCCCTCCCTTGACAGGATAACCCTCCCCTGTAACAGGAGAACTCACCGGGGGAGTTGGTGACAGAGGCGTGAAAGCAGCTGAAGTTGATCAGGGCGTAGGAGCACAGGAAGAAGTTGGAGATGATGGGAGCGATGACATTCAATTGGGCTGGGAGAGACAGACAGAGAGACAGTGTGGGTAACTGCCCAGTACAGCTCTCCTGTACCAAGCTGACCAGACACTGCATTAAGACCAGACCAGACCATTCAACCCAGAAGCACTTCCTGACTCGCTCTGAGGCAGATGCTGAATGATGTCATAATGGAGTGGGATCCGCCCCCCTTTCTGTGAACTCACCAATGAGAATAAAGGCCACCGAGATGAAGAAGGTCAGGATGTAGCCCCGGTAGGGCTCATCATTTTTCCCATAGCCCTTGGCAAAGAAACTGATCAGGGGGTATATGTTGTCCCTGCAGAGACACTGATGTATACAGACAGAGAAGGAAGGAGAGAGAGAGAAAAACATAAATGAAGCCACACGCAACTGTATCAATTGCTTCTTTAAGGGTCACTTGCCCCCAGCAGAGGCCAGTTCTGTCTCGTGAGTTGTACCTGGAACACCTTGGGTGCAGAAACCAGGAAGGCAAGGGCTGAGGACAGACTGGCAGCAAAGATCCCCGCAGTGATCAAGGGACCAAACCCGGACACCAAACTGAGAACCTGAAAAAAACAGGTAGGGTTGGGCATTAGGACATCCTCACTTGCTGACGAGACAATACCTAGACAATCCTCTTACACAGAGAAAGAGTGAGGGGGAGTTAAAACAAACACACAACCTCGCAGGCAGATTGAATGGCTTAATCTTGCAATTCATTCGGGCAGAAAGAGGGGGGGAGAGAGAAGTGTGAGAGGGCAGTAGAAGGAGAGGTTAATGCGTGGCAGTTATCTGGTCACAAGAGTGCATTAACGCTTCAGCTCCTGGAAGAGAGAGGCAGACCGTGGGAGGTCCCAGCGCGGGCCTTGTCCACACAGCTCTGGGACTCTGAAGGTATGACTCTACCTGGTAGTTGTTTGCCAGGCCGAACTGGCAGTTCGAGAGCTCGCAGGCTGTGAAGTTCCAGCCGTATTGGCAGGCCAGCCCCACACAATCCCCAGTGACGTTTCCAGAGATGGTATCATTCAGGTTCCCTGAGGCATCCCGTACCACACACGAGCCTGAAAGAGAGAGAAGGATAGCTACATGTGCAATGATTGAACGAGCGGACACCGCAATAGTTTTGCGATGTGCTGATCCTGAGAGAGAGGGAGTTATCGAGACTCTTACTGATTGGATTCAGTATTCAATTGTGCTGCACGGAGCCCCATGTGAGAAGTGTGTATTGTGAGTTAGGAATGATCATGGATCATCCGTCTGTTCCTCTCTTTCTGACTCCTGTCATCCTGTTCTGAACATCGGCCAATTTCCCTCTATGCTCTTAACACTGGCGGGACACTTTGGCTTACCGACGGTGGCTGAGATGACCAGGTAGGACAAAGTTGTCCAGAATATAGCCATCAGAGTCCCTTTCGGAATGGCCTCTTCTGGATTCTGGAAGAAAACAGCCAAGACAGAGAGGTCATGTAATGACCTCCATCCAGATATAAGCCATACAACAAGCACATCTGTTTTAGCCACTCTGTCCCTCTCCTCTCACACTCACCCTGAACTCACCAGCACACACACTGTCACACCTGACTGTACTGTAGACACTACTAGTCTCACTGCTGTCCCTCTCCTCTCACACTCACCCTGACCTCACCAGCACACACACACACAATCACACCTGCTGTCCCTCTACTCTCACACTCACCCTGAACTCACCAGCACACACACACACTGTCACACCTGACTGTACTGTAGACACTGCTAGTGTCACTGCTGTCCCTCTCCTTTCACACTCATCCTGAACTCACCAGCACACACACACACTGTCACACCTGACTGTACTGTAGAAACTTCTAGTGTCACTGCTGTCCCTCATACAGTACACACCTTCAGGTCTCCAGAGATGTTGGCTCCTGACAGAATGCCAATAGCCGAAGGGAAAAAGATTGCAAACATTTGGAAGAAGGTCCCTTCCTCCCCTCTCCAGTCTGGTAACAGGTTATCCAAAAAAATGCTAGCTGTAAGAGACAGTTTGTCACAATAGTTTGTCAAGGAATTTGAAATTGTCAGGGTCATGCAAGTTCAGGCACAAGCAGGCTGGCTCACATTTGTAGCTGAAGAATCCCATTGCCTGCTTCTCCTTAGTGGGCGGAATCAGGGTTCCCACCAGGTAGTTGGTGAAAGATACCATCAGCACCAGGAAGAAAATAACTTGAGTCTGCAAAACATGTAAGAGAGCACGGACATATTAAAACTTATTTAGTTGAACAGGCAAGGGTTCAGTACTTTCTACAATCCAATCTGTCCTCTTAGAAATTTAAGATGACAAATGCGCTTGGTAATTTTGCAGTGTGAGATGGAGACACTTGTCTGAACTACATTTCCCAAAAGACAGTGGGGGAATGACCTGCCATCCTCAGTCATGTGACCAATTGTCTTAAACCAAGTGAGCGAGGAAGGCAAGTGGTGCAAAGAGATGCTCAACTTGCCGAGGAAAGACTGGTCTCACCTTGGCCTCCCATTCCATGCCTGCCAGCGAGATGCACAGGAGCACAGTGATTGTGATGACTCCAATGATGCGCACATCGTTGATGTTGTCCACCATGATGGCGTCATATTCCTGAAGGGGAATCAGAAAGAAACAATGATTTTCTGCCTTCAACTTAGTATTTATTACCTCATTTGGGCTCAGAAGACACTCTTGGCATCCATGGGTAACAGATTTGGCCAATTGTACCCAAGATCTTGACCAGGACCTTTACCCTTAGTATTCCCAGATCATTCTGCTAACAGGCTTTGCTATTCCAAAATATTCAGTTTAAGATTTGGAATGTCCACTGGGTCTAGATAACATCGGCTCTCCCAGCAGTTCCAGAGCAAGGCCTCACACGCATTAATCCTTTAGATGATATACAGTAAGACGTCTTTGACAACTTCACTGACCATTTACAAAAGATCATTTACATGGTGAAGGGTTAAGCAGGGAAGTATTTGGTATAACCCAAAAGCTCCAAGGCCTCCTAAAACTGATTATCCACAATCAATTTTAAAGAAGGAAGGGACAATTTCCACTCTAACAAGATCTCTCAAGTGCCCCTCGAGGTCTCCTCTGACTACCCCTGGGCTCAGGCCCACATGCCCATTTCCTTCCAGCAGCGGGAAGCCCCACTTACAACCAGCAGGTCCCTGACGGTCTCCGCAAAGCCCACAGTGTTCATGGCGCAGGCCAGCGCATTGGCGAAGGCGAACACCAGCCCGATCGGGCCCCCGATTTCTGGGCCCAGAGTCCTGGAGATCATGAAGTAGGTGCCCCCTGAAACACAAACCAGATGGCGGCTCAGGCCTCTGATGAATCCCACCGGAACTGAGGCTAAATGTGTACATGTCACACGCAGGCTGGGAGCAGATCATGTCCCGGTGTTAACCACTGGCAACCTGCACCCTCTGAGTTCTCACAGGGTCTCCATCCCAACCCGAACCTTTGCGAATGCACCCAGGACACGTTTCACAAGAGATGCTTATTGTTCAGTCAGGCAGGCAAATAATTCAATTATCTGCTTCTGGAGTGGACTATTTAAGGTATCTCAGGTGGGGAGCTGTGGCAGCATGTGTAGGCTGCAAAGGAACAAGTAATAGGTTTATTCCCTGCCCGAAGAAGGCTCCACAGCTGAAACATTGTGTTTCCTTTCTTCTCTTTTCAGCACGGAATAAACCCATTACTTGTTCCTATTTAAGGTATCTACCTGCTCATCTCATTGCTCCGACAGTTTCAGCTGCACTCCTTTTTCCCCACCTAACCCTTTCTCCCTGAGGCTCTCCTGCTCATGGGAAGTTTTTTCTGGCCCCTTTATGTTTTTCCCACTCGCAGTCACTTTATACAGTAGGCATCAACGCGCCAAAACTTTTTTTCTGCCATCAAGGTGATAAGTCGTTTTTGCCGGCATCCAGTAGCCAGCTTCCATTTCTCCCATCGTTTAAGCACTCCGTCCGGAGATCCCTGAGGTTGTGATGATACCCAGCATTTTGAGCTCGGCCTCACATTCACCCCAGCCCTGAACTTCAGTGACTGCAGCGCAACAGTGCACAGTTGTGTGCCTAATAGGCAAATATAGTGGGAGAGAAAGCAAATGTAATTTCACCTTAGATGCAATGCATAATAACCTGTAGATCATGCCAAACCAGCATGTCTTTTAGAGACAGTCTGCATATCAATGCTGTAAGATCACCCAGACTGTTTGCACTCCATTACCAGCATTGGAATGGACATATATGCATTGTGTCCATCACTGGGAGGGTTGATCCATACGCTGGGTATTAAATTGACATAAAAATTGAGGTGCAACATGAGCCTCCTGCTTTTTTAAGATTAGTCCAGAATGTTCATCTTTCAGTTTTTGTCTGATGGCTTTACCACCAAAAGAACACGGGGCGCGACCCCCATAGTTGCACTGTTAGTCACGTGTGGGGCCTCAAAGGCCTTCCTTCAGCTGTCAGCTGACATCACTCACCAGATGATGTCATCGATTTTGTTGCTGACTGTGACATCACTCACCAGATGTAACCTTCCCATTGGTGGAGATGGCCGAGACGGAAAGTGCGGTGATGGACGTCACGACAACAGACATCAGGATGATAACCCAGGTGAGAACTAGATGGGGGAACACAAACAAGTGGCCAGCTCAGCATGGCAAATGGTCATTACACTACATCTCAGCAGGAGCAGGCAACCCTAGCCCTCGGGAGCAACATCTGTTGCTAGTTATCATTCCAATCTGTTGCTAGTTGTCTTTCCAATCTCCTTAACGACTTAATTGAGGCAGTTAAGTGAGCAAGAAATAGGTCGCAGGAGAGCCACAGGCACAAAGCAGGGTATACCCTAGACGGGATGCCAGTCCATTGCAGGGCACATACACAGAAACAAATACACACACACCAGGATCCCCAGGTCTTAACAAGGTAACATTGAAAGGTGCCTCTAAAACTCGCAAGATCTCAGCACTTGATTACTGGGGTTACCGCGAGATCCCGGCATTGCAACATTCAAATCTCCACTTCGATGATACTGCTGCAGCTGGACTGGCGATTGGCAGTGGGATCGTTGCAGAGCTTGAAAACTCAAGCAAACCTGCTGCAGACAAGCAAAATGCATCTGGTGAGGTTTGAGGCCAGATTGAATAGGTCTCTCGCGAATTCTACCGCTAGTTGCTCCTAAAGAACATAAGACAATGGCTTCTGCTGTGACTACTCTAAGAAGAAAGATGGGGAGACAGTTATGTCTCTCATTCTTGCCACAGCCCGGAGTGCATCGCGTGGAGAGAAAAGAGGTGCACACTCCTGCCCTGGATCAAGGCAGTGGGTGGCCGGACGAGTAACTCACGGATTCCAGCTTGCGAGGTGATCCAGGATAGCCGAAGGAACAGGATCACTCCCCAGATGTTAAGCATGCAGCGGATCTGTACACCAGGACACACACAGAAAGAGGGCAAGGTCAGCTCAGGTGGCGACAGAAGTGCAGGTAGCCACCATGCACTTCTCCAGAAAAGAGGCAGGAAATGTTAGGACAGGACGTTACCGATAGGAGATCACTTGACCCATCTACACAGTATAGTAGTCAGCAGCCTATTGATCCGAAGGTGTCACTTCAACAGCATGGTTGGGATGCTTGTTCCACAATTCCACCAGCCCTGGAGTAAAGACGCGCTTCCTGTTCCCAATTTTGAATGCACTTGCATGGTATACTTGCGCAGCCACGTCCACTGTGCAAGAATTTTCCCTGTCCCTATCCCTGTCTCCCTTTCACCTGTCCACCAAGCAGCAATGAATATTAATATTAATTAGCTCCTTGCCTACCCCCCCCCCCCCAATGCAGTATTGTGATTGGATGAAAACCTTATTAATATTCAAACCCATAACACCTTGCGATGGCTGTGCCTGGATTCCTTTCTAATATTGTGGGGCGTTCATTCTAAGATATACAAGCAGGTAAGACATCTGCTAACTTTGACTACACGCACAAGTAGAAAACAAAAGTCTGGAAACAGCTGGTTTACTAGTTAGCAGCTTATTGATCTGAGGCTTATCCTGAATGGCTGGATTGGACCCATGACAGTAGGATTATAACCCCAGATATTGCAGAGATTGCACATTATTTCTCTTAATTAAAAATGTACTCCTTGCCTGGGGGTATGGGGAGGGCAACAGCTGAGACCCAGAGGATTCCTTTCACCCACTAAGGGTTTTTGCTTTCCTCTCTTCTGCACCCACACGGTCAACTGTTGCTTTACAGTATTGTTGATGGCTACAATACTGTAAAGCAACAATACTGTAAAGCTACATAGTCCTGTACACTTCCACTCGCCTGCATACAGTAAATAAGTCTCGCACCCAGGACATCCCCTAAAGTGTTTCTCTCGTAAGCTCCACTCCATCTACACCCCTGTAGCAGCTCCCCGGCTCAATCCTAGCTATACAGAAAGGGGATACAGGCTTTACAGCCTTGCCCTCATCTAGGTGAGCTATGCCAAATTCACTCTGCATACCTCTCTCACATTTATTAGGATCAAACTGCTGAAATAATGCCTGAGCAGTCAATGGTATCTTTGCAGATTTCTGAACATCATTGAGTAAGCACCTATCTATGCAAGTGTAACCTATATTGCAGGGGGGGGGGTGCTGATAGGCTCTCCGGCGCCACCTGCTGGCAGCGCGTGCACCAGCCCTCACCATCACGCCCTTCACCCAGCCGAAGCGGACAGGTTTGGAGGGGGCCTTGG